ATTCCCATATCATGAAACCCAGAAATTCTAACTCTCATTGGACCATATTGATGTAACCATTGTATTTCAAAACATCACATTTTTTTTTCCCTTAAATGAAACATTGATGTTCTTAAAAACTCCAGAAGAAAGGGAACAACATTAAGTAAATTCGGTGAATCGACAGTTTTAAAAGCAAGTATGCTTTGTAACATACAAACTCTGACAGTGGCGCAAAATTACGGATTTTTAGCACATGCATAAAAAGCTTACATTTTGTGTTGAAAAAGTGCAACAGAGTGCAAAATCATAAGCTTGAATTATTTCAATACTATTGTTTGTAAAAACAAAACTCTAGTCATGCGTTAAGTTTAATCAATAGTATTTTAAACACCATTTTTCCGTATGATAACGTTTTATGTTCTGAGAGAAAAACATTCAGTTAGATTTTAGATTGTTCATTTGAAAATGTGTATGTCAATGAAAAACATTCAGTTTAAAGAAACATAGACTCACTACAAAATTTGGGTAGTGTCAATAATCTTGATTCATCTAAATCTAATGGTCAAAGAAAAGCATCATTTGCTCAGTCTACTTTCAAGAACTACTTGTAAACTTGACAAATTTTGACAAATTTGTAGACTTACTTGACTTGTCACTGTTATGTGAACATACTGTATAAATGCTGCATCCAGTAGTTAAACTAATACATTTTTACTGTTCAATATTAAGTAAAGTTAACTGGGGGCCAGAGCTGTACTGTTTTTAGATAAAACTGAAAATAAATGCTTGTTTATATTTTGTTTTATATTTGAAATAATCCATTTTTTCTTTATAATATCAAGTATTTTTAATTCATTCAAATCAGTTTGAAATACCAAAATTCCATAACTAAGTTACATGGCTTGGATTGTGAGTTTAACAATTACTACGAGTAATACATACATTTTGTTTACTTTTTGAAACAGAAATATCGATACTGTCTAAAGACTGATAAGTTCTTATAGTAAATATTTTATGTTTATTTTCAAATCTACACTAGTGATGAAAAACATTAAGTTTTTTAGATTATTCGTACTACAATGTGTGCCATAAATTACAGAACATACTTGTAAATATATTGAGAATGTGTTAGTCAAAAGAAAATCATTCAGTTTTTCATTAATCACAAAGACAACTTGAATTTACATCTGTGATTTTCAACCAACAGTATAGAACATTACATTTTTAGATTAAATAGTTTTACAAGTTGTGACAATTTGTAGTCAATACAGATTAAGATTTGTTATTTAATGGATTACTATTGTAAACATATTTTTATTTGATAGTTCCAACATTGATATATTAAAATGATATGACTGATGCTCTTTTGTCTGTCTTAAAATTTGTATTGGTTTAATGTAGAAATAATGTGAAAAACAACATAACCTATTAATGAGCAATAATAAAGGCAGATTCATTAAATACTGTGTGTGTGACTTCAAGCAGACAAAACCAGACCCAGAAGTGTACACACAACACACAGACACACACACGCACAAACACACAACGAGATAGACACAGACAGACACACAGCCAGAGCCACTCTCCACACCGACAGTCCTATCAGAGAGACAGACGCACGCACAAACACAACGTCTCACGCTTAAACAGCCGGAAAGAACCGGTCTGAACGATAACCATGTAAACGGACGTTTGCGTTTATTTAACAACCGATGTCATAATGTTCGCTTATCAGATACACGCATACGTCGTAAAAGTCATCAGATGTCTTTTATCTTTCTCAAGCACGCTTCAACCGGTTCAAATTTCCCGCACACATACACCCATGCAGGCACAGCCAGAGCCGAACCACACCCACACCCGAGCCGGAGAGACGCACACACATACACAGACACGCAGTTCAGACCATAACAGAGCAAAGGCAACACAGCGGTGCATATACCTTAGTTTATTAATTCTAACATAATATATTAACATAATATATTATAATAACATAATTTAAAACAATAATGACAATATAATATTGTATAATTATAATATCTGCATTGATTACAATAATTAAAATATATTACTGTATAATATTAAATAATATAGATTTAATAACGGTTGATATTATTTATTTCATTAAAATCTATTTCATAATATTAAAATATCTCATTTTAATGTAATAATAACGGAATTATTAATTTTATTCAATTGATAAGAATCTAATTAAAGGAATTATTAATTTAATTAAAATGATAAGAATCTAATTACCGGAATTATTAATTTAATTCAACTGATAAGAATCTGATTACCGGAATTATTAATTTAATTCAACTGATAAGAATCTAATTAACGGAAAGGGGCGGGGTTTACACCGGAAGCCCCGCCCTAAAAGGGGCGTGGCGGTCATCAATCAAACTTTTTGACACATGCCACCTTATATTCCTCTCTCTCATGCTGTATCACTTTACATCATATGAAATTGCATGCATCATAAAATGCTTCAACCTCTAAAGCCGACAGATCAACATTTTAAGAGCGTTCCAGGAGTTCAATGAACTACATTTAATGGTATGTAATCTTTAAATAGCATTTTAATACAGTTAATTTTATACAGATGCAAACTTCCTATCACTACAAGTAATATCATCATATCTGTGCAACAAATTCCCCAAATACAAGGCAAACAGTGTTATATCTAAAGGTGAAAGAGAGCGTTCAGATTTACTCTCCTCTTGAACCATCTAAAACTCCACCACTTCAGCTCTAAATTTGTCATTCCACTGAACAAAATATCTCATCCCGCAAGGTGTTCATCCAAAGTCAAAGTCCTCTAACCTCCTACACCTAAGCAATCGCAGCAGTTTCAGTGACATAAGCACTGTGGTAAGTCTCGCTCAGACACACTCTTAGCCCTTTTTACCCCGAGCTGCACCTGTCTCAATTCTCACTTTCTATTTTTCATGGGACCCTTGAGAAAGCATGTATTACCAAGGCTGAGAGAGGAGCTAGCCGAGGTATGAAAAGGTAAGAGGAGTCATTACTGACAGCCTGGAGGAAACATTCCCGTCAAATGACCTGAAACACTTTTTAAGCAGGGGTCTCAGCTGACTTCCCCAGACATCTGCTACCGAGGGTCTTTTTTTTTTCCTCTCTCTGAGGTGGCTAATGCGCAAACCTCCATTCTAATTGTGGCAGAACTGTCAAGGGGGCACTCTAGGCCTTTGGAGGCGTCTGTTTCTTCTGGGTATTTTTTTTTTTAAAGGAGTGACAAATGAAAGAGCTACTGGAGTGGAATATGCGGCAGACGGGAGAAAGTCAAGAAAGCATAACCTCAAACTATGAGAGCTGATTCAAGCGTAGGTCCCTTGACCTCAGTGGGACTCGTTTAGCTATCAATCTGCAAGTCAAATGGTAAAACCCAGGGGCGTAGTAATTATTATAAATGGGGAACATGTCCCATATCACTCTTTCAGAAATTTTTGCAGTGGTTATAATACTTTTGGTGAGTGAGTGAGAGAGAGTGAGCAAGGAAAATTATTACTCTCTGCTCAAGTTTAAAATTTTGCCTCCATGGCTTTGACGTGTTAAAAGCCATTTGCGCCACCAAGTTTTAGCATAATTATGCTAAATAGAATTAAAACTTAATAGCCATTCAAATACTGCACATATTTAAAAAAAATTACTAATAATTTACAGGAGACACAGCATCTGGCCACTTGGTGCACCGATAATAATCTGCTCCTTAACAGCAACTTAAGGCAACTTAAGAAGAACCAGCTTTCATCAGCCGTCTTGGTGAACTTCTACCGCTGCACAATAGAAAGCATCCTGACCAACTGCGTCACAGTCTGGTATGGAAGCTGCTCTGTTGCTGAGCGTAAGGCACTGCAGCAGGTGGTTAAAACTGCCCAACGCATCACAGGGACCACACTGCCAGCCATAGAGGACATCCAGAAGCAACACTGTATGCGCCGAGCACGCAGTATTCTTAAGGACAACTCTCACCCTGCTCTCAGACTGTTTTCACTCCTGCTTTCTCGGACAAAAACCAGCAGACTGAGGAACAGCTTTTTCCCCAGAACTGTTTCCCTTCTGAACTCTGCCCCTCACTGACTCTTTTGCCCCCCACTCTCCTCTAAAGCCTAGTTCACACTACAGGATTTTAAACATCATCAGATCACTGTGTCGTTCACACTACATGACTTGACTTTGTGTCTTTTAATCTCTGTGGTGTTCACACTACGCAACACTCTGTGAATGATCCACAAGAGGGGGGTCACAGACTACATGATCTGACAACAACTCATTCCCCAACAGCTCATTCAAGCTACCAAACCACAGCCAATGAAATTTTGAGGGAGCAGTCGTCAGAAAAAGCTGAACACTATTGGCTGCTTGTGTGCTGATGACATCACTGACAGCGTTTCAAGCTTTTGAGACAGCATTTAAACATCGTCAAATCAGCTGATTTATGAGCGGATTAATCACTCATCTGCAAGGTTCGAGTGGATAGATACACAGAGAGTTTTTAATTTTTGTAATTTTATAACTCTTTGAAATAAGACTAACATATTTATAACACCCTGCCGTTTTCTAACTATCAGTGTATTTCTTTCTGACATTGTTATTTGTTATTTTTTTTATTACAAAACAGTAAAGAACTGAGCATTTCTGCCTTAAATTACCATATTGGTTAAAATGACTGCATGCATGTCTGATACTTTTTGACTTTAAATATGTGCATTTTCTTGCCTGGCAACTTCCTGCTAACATAAACAAAACTTTCTGATGGCAAAAACATCAATTTACTTCAGATATCTTTCAAAACAGCATATTCTGTGCTGTTAAATAGCTCCTGTTTGAAAGTGAAAATGAAAGCCAAGACCTTTAAGTGTTTTAGTATCTTAACTACATATTAATAGGCTGCATTACCAAAAAAAAAGATGATATTTTTAGGGTAATGATGTCATTAAATATGATGCCAGACATTCAAAGCTTAATTTTAATATCTCAATAGAAGCTTGTGTGGCCGATTCATTTAAGAGATTTATTTATTTACTTATTTATTTTTATATGCAAGTAATAGTTAACTTCAGCAAAACTTGCATCTAATGTTTTGTTTTATTCACTTCAAGAGTTCCTATGTTTGTTGTAGGTGGGGCTGTAAATAGTGTAACACCGGGTGAATGTTAAAGCTTCCCTCTGTGTGCCCGCGCTCAGTCGCGTGGTGCACGCAGATGGTGAAGCAGAGGTAATTTTCGCTCTCCTCTAATCCTACAATTATTATCCCTTTGCAGTCACAATCATTTTATTTTGACACTAAAATGCTGTTTAGGGTTTCTGTTGTAATGTGTATTGTTGTGATGAGTATATTTTACTTTAAATGGTGTGTTTATTGTGATTTTAGAGTTTTCATTTGCACGTGTATTTTTCATGTAGGATTGAGAGGGTTTCCAGTGTTAAATTATACTGACTGTGCCTCACTGTTTTGTTAAGGTATGTTGTTTTGGTTATTGGCTTGTTATTTTAAGGATTCAAATATGTAAATCAGTTTAAATTACAGTAATGGTGTCATTTAATTGTGTCATGGCAGATTTTCAACTAATAATTTAATTAATGCAAACAAAAAGGGTTTTATTTTATCAGTGATCAAAAGAAAATTAATGCAATTTACAATTAACAGTTATTTAATGTTACATATTTTATTTATATTATGCAATTTATGTGATTTTGTTTTTATTGGCATTTAAATGTTTAAAATAGTAAAATACATATTTCTCTGTGTGCCTGCTCAGTCGCGTGGTGCACGCAGATGGTGAAGCAGAGGATTGAGAGGGTTTCCAGTGTTAAATTATACTGACTGTGCCTCACTGTTTTGTTAAGGGAATAAATCAGTGTTTCTCCACCTCATCTGTGTGTGTGACCGTGTTTGAGAGGGAAGTCCATTTGAAGTCTGCTACACTTGTAATGTAAATATGTTGTGACAATATGGCGTTTTATATGAGAGCGGTCAGAATGAGCAGTATGGTAATTCTAATAGTTACAGAATTCTAGTTCCACTGTTAATATATCCTACTCTCATGTCTGTGTTAACACAGAATGAAGCGAGTGCACCGATGCCCATTCTGACCAATCACAGATGTTTCTGCTTAGCTCCTGAGCACACAGGCATTCAGCTCATGCTGATATGCTCTCTCATTGGCTGCAGCTCGTCACTACATCTGACCACACGTGGGGTTGAGTCGGCGGACTGCTCTGGAATATTTAGCATGCTGAATGTTGGATTTCCGTCTGCGAGGTGTCGGCGACGCGTCAGCGAGCCTCGTTAATGCATTGTTCAGTAGTTCACACATAAAGAGCGGCGAGCGCCGAGCACCCGCAGATTTCTTCCCGATCACAGCCCGATCTGTCGGCGAGCTCGTTAACTTCCAAATCGGGCTCAAATCAGGCTTAAAATCCTTTAGTGTGAACTAAGCATAACTTATACTCCTCACAATCACTGCACTATTTAACATTTGCACACTTAAAAACTGCACATATTGATTGCACTACATTGCACTAATTCATTATTTGAACTGTACATACCCACTGCAAATGTTTATCTATCCTGTGCACTTCTAATTATTAATAGCAACCCTGTACATATATTCATGTATTGTAAATCTCTGTTGAAAGCTAATACAACCTGTATATAATGTTCATAGTACACCATAGTTTTTCTAAAACTGCACTTTATACTTATTATTATTATTATTATTATTATTATTATTATTATTATTATTATTATTATTATCAACCTGTATCCTGCACTTGCTGCTATTGTACTGCTGATTAGACCTAAACTGCATTTCATTGCTTTGTACATGTGTAATGGCAATAACATTGAATCTAATCTAAAAAAATCTAATTAATTTAATTTAATTTATCATTCATTCATTCATTCATTTTCTTGTCAGCTTAGTCCCTTTATTAATGCAGGGTCGCCACAGCGGAATGAACTGCCAACTTATCCAGCAAGTTTTTTTTACGCAGCAGATGCCCTTCCAGCCGCAACCCATCTCTGGGAACATCCCCACACACATTCACACACACACTCATACACTACGGACAATTTAGCCTACCCAATTAACAATGCCCTTCCAGCCAACATCCACACACTCCTTCATACACACACTCATACACTACGGACAATTTAGCCTACCCAATTCACCAGTACCCCATGTCTTTGGACTGTAGGGGAAACCGGAGCACCCGGAGGAAACCCACGCGAGCACAGGGAGAACATGCAAACTTCACACAGAAACGCCAACTGAGCCGAGGTTCGAACCAGCGACCTGTGAGGCAACAGCACTACCTACTGCGCCACTGCGTCGCTCAGGTAAGGAATAACTGTATAAATTAATTTTGCATCAAAAAAGCATTTTGAGATTGGTAAAGGCGTCTGCAACTTTTGAGAAGCATCAAATCACCGGTATATTAGCGGTCAAAACATGTGCATGACTGCATAAATTATTATCCTTTTTTTAAGTTAAATATTGGGCATGTACATGTTTGTATCTAAAAAAAGTTAATTTTAATAAATGTTCTCTTTAAACCACCGGGTGGCAATCTTTGTTCTTTTATTTTGGAGTGCAGACTGCATAAGTTTTATTAATACATTTTTTTTTTACTTTAAATTGACATAGTTAAAAAATATATATTAACTGTTTTCCCAAGTTTATACAACTACTGTAAGAAAATATCAGCATTTGGTATATACTTTCAGTATTATATTTGCTTGAAGTGACTCGATCTAATCCTGTTTATATGAAATGAACCTGCTCCCAAGCAGGTTTGAGCTAGCAGAACTGTTGCTATGACAACTAGTCTCAGTTGAGTTTTGAAAACTAAATGATCCTGGATCAAGTCAAATCGTCAACATCCAAATCCAGCTAATTGAGTAATCAATTAGCTGACCCCTGCTTGAAAATGCCTTTGTTGCTTTGTCAGTTATCTAATCAGTACAATATCTGTAATTTAGAAACTGGGGAACTAACACTGTGAAATTAATTTAAATAAGTATTGACAATTTAACGAAGTTACATAAAGTAGTTGTGAGACTTACAATTGCTGTGAAATAGAAGCAATAAAAAAAACTCTGATACATCTATATTAACTGCTACATTTATTTAATCTGTAGCAGAAAATTTACCTTAATAGATTAAAATATTATTTTTGCTCTGCCCTAATAATTTTATATGCTTTAAGGTATTATTGTGAAAAAACACAGTTCTCCATTATTATATTATTCATAATTAACTATGCAACTAATTATCATTACATGCAACTAACCCTAAACCAAACTCAGATTTTTAACCCTAACCATATAGTAAGTGCATGTAATTAATTATTATTAGTCAGTAATTAAATGAATAGCTGCACTGTAACAAGGAAACCTTAAAATAAAGCATAACCCATGCCTTCATTTATTTTAAACATATTGTTAAATTCAAGTTCATGAAATCTCCTTCCTGAAAAATCCAGCTCTGCTTCTTAAATTACCATCAACAGCTCATTCATCAACACTTTATCAGGCTGTACTATTTAATCACAGATAATGATGTCAGATAACTGTCATCAAATACTGTACTCCAGTATGAATATTTAACCAAACGTCTGCTTCCCTCAGAAGACAGCAAGGGGACATATGGAATTAGACTGAGGGCTTGTTTTGGTGACAACTAATGGCAGATGGAACTGTCAAAACACAGAGTACATTAACTAACGGCACCAAGCTGATTGGCAGGAACAGCGTCAGGGCTGCCAGACACAGAATGAAGGACATTTTACCTCTCCGTCTTTTGACTCCAGGCGTAAATCGCTCCTACAGGTTGCTTGGAAATCACCCGCGTCAGCTTCTATTTTCACTCCTTTAGGCGCCTCCATGTATAGCGAGCGTGTAGGAGACTCCAGCCTGAGCAGAAGATACATCACAGATTGTAATGCCTTTCTACATACAGTACAGTAAGAGCTTCAAATCAGATCAAAATAGCCTATAATGTTAGAGCAATGAAGCTGATGAGACTTTAGCGCATCAAAGGGTGGCTTTGCAAAGTGAATGATTCCCTGGAGACGATGCAATTTATGCCAGCTCGTTTTATGACCAAATGTAATTGAATGATTTTTTTTTTTTTTGAGAATATGAGGTTTCTGGAACATTCAGTTCAACCTTCAGATGTTATTTGAGACCCGTTGGGAATAAAATGCAGACGAAGAATCTCTTTTAGGTTTCTTTTGTTAATTTATGTACAGATTAACAAGAATACTAGGTGATACAATCATGGCTACAAAAAACTGATACTATTTGCATTGATATAATTAAAATGTGCTACATTTTGAACTGGTGTTTGGTTAAGAGGTATTGTAATTAATGTTTGATGTATTCTAAGGCCTGGTTTATACTTCTGCGTCAAGTGACTGGCGTAACCCACGGCGCATGCAACGCACGTAGCTGTGCATTTATACTTCTGTGCGCTGTCTCTGTTGGTCTGCATTAACACTTGGCAGTGAGGTGTAAATGTTCCTCTGTGTCGAGTTTTTTCGCTGTTGTTTTGCTTTTCCTGAACACTTCCGGGATGTACAAGTGGCTCAAACTCGCTCATTTTGAGGCAGGAACCGGTGGACGTGCAACAACTTTAACTATGAGCTAAACACAAAACACGAGACTCCACACTTGTAAACAATTGCTCCATCAGGCTCGCTCCATTCCCGCCCAGACTCATCAGCACTACCAAGCTGACCAATCACAGAGCTTACGCTATGCGTTGTTGTGACGTGTAGTTAAATTTTTTTGAGAGGTGCACAACAGTAATGCCGACGGCCACGGCGAAGGGCTATGCGTCAGCATTTGACGCAGAAGTATAAATCAGCCTTAAGAAATTACTTGTTTGAAAAAAAAAAACATGACATACAATTAGAGGGATACAATGTTAGTATTAGCTATACTGTAAACAATTTAATTTTTATTACACACCAACTTTTGAAAATCATATCTCCCATGTCACAAAAACCTCCTTCTTTCATCTGGGAAATATCGCTAAGCTACCAAGCATGCTATCTATTTCAGATGCAGAAAAGCTTGTTTATACTTTTATGACTTCTAGACTTGATTACTGCAATTCTCTATCCTGCTGGTTGCCCAGCATCTTCTATTAATAAACTTCAGTTAGTGCAAAATGCAGCTACCAGAGTTCTTACTAGGTCAAGAAAATATGACCATTTCACCCCAATTGTATACTTCTTAAACTGGCTGCATGTTAAGTTATATATTGATTATGAAATATTGCTTCTTACCTATAAAGCCTTAAATAATCTAGCTCCTGTTTATCTAACCGACCTTCTGTCTAGCTACAATCCAACTCGCTCTTTAAGATCTCAAAACTCAGGGCTTCTGATAATGCCCGGAATAGCAAAGTCTACTAAAGGAGGTCGAACCTTCTCTTTTATGGCTCCTAAACTCTGGAATAGCCTGCCTGATAAAGTCTCTCAGTTCAAAACTAGATTAAAAACTTATTTGTTTAGTAAAGCATACAAACAATGCCTTACATAATCGTGTAAGGCGAATAAAATTTGACAGCATGCCGTGGCTAGCCGCAGCACGAAACGAGGCAAGCCACTCTGTATGAGTGTGCTCCATGCACCTCCTGTTAGACACCCTCCGCCTTGTTTGAATGCACCATACATTTTTAAAGAAATACTTATAAGCTTTGTTTCTATGGTTATATAATTCCTATTTTAGATATATTATAGTGCTTCATTTCCGCACTGACATTTGATATCTCTTGTTCAAATACATTATGAACAGCAGCTACACTAATTATTTTCTTTGTTGTCTATTTCCAAATGGGGATGCCCATCCCGTGGCCTCTAGAAACTGTGCAGTGGCATTGATGGGATCCAGCACCTGTGAAGAGATGATGCCAACCATAGAGGACTTCAAGGACAACTCATACACTTCAGACACAAATACATTTTCATTAAACCTATATGCTATAAAATTGCTTGGTAACAATGTCTGTATATAATAACTTACATTTGATTGTAATGTAGTCATGTGCACCTTTTGTAAAGCTGCTTTGAAACAATAATTATTGTAAAAAAGTGCTGTACAAATAAACTTGAATTGAATTGAATGACAATGAAAAAATGTTCGTACCAATCTATTGTGTAGTTTACATAAATGGAAAAAATACATACAAAAATACACACAATAGTTTCTTCAGCACTTCTCTATATTTAATTCACAAAAGAGTCTCAAATAACATCTTAAGGTTGAAATAAATATTCCAGCAACCTCATGAAACCACTCTATAACTGCTTGAAAAAATCAATCCATTACGTTTAGTCATAAAATGAGCTGGCATAAATTGCATCATCTCCAGGGAATCATTCACTTTGCAAACACACTCATACTTTTATGCATGGTTTAGAGTAAACCACCTTAACAAAGTACAACTAAGCCATACCCATGTCATTGTACAACTTTTGTGTCTTTTTAAACCACACATGCACAAATAGTTTCAATGTAATTTCAGCATCAACATTTAACAGAGGATACATCAAGTTCCCATAATGTAATTCAAACACAATGGGTAAAGAAAGTATTTGAACCCCATTTTTCACTCTTTGTTATATTGCAGCCATTTGAGTACAATTTCCTCAAGTTTTTCGTAATTACACACATTTTCACACAGCACCCCGGATACTGACAGAAAAACAGAATTGTTGACTTTTTTGCAGATTTATTAAAAATGAAAACTGAAATATTATATGGTCCTAATATATAGTATATGTAAAATGTATTGCCATCTTGGAAATATAAGTTTCTATCTGTGTTTTAAATGTTTTTAAGTTATTGAGCTTCACAGTTTTTAATTCTCTTCAATTTGTGAATTGGGGTAAACATAAAAAATAAACTGGGCAAATGCAGATAAAACCTATTTCTAAAAAGTCATTTTTTTTCATGGAATTATAAGGTTCTATCTTGCAAATTATTCATTGAAGCATTACTTTTTAAGAAATACAAGCAGTCTGCTTAATAATTTAAACAAATAAAAATTGGTATTGTAACAATATGTTGATAAATATATATATATATACATAAATATATATATACATAAATATATATATATACATAAATATATATATATATATATATATATATATATATATATATATATATATATATATATAAACTGAAACATTTTTCAGTGTTTATTTAACTTTGTTAAACAACTAATTTGCTCATTGTGTTTTTTTGTTTAAATATGACATCTGCACTATGCACTATGACTATGCACTATGTCTTGTATGCTTAAGTAAAAAAAAAAAAAAAAAAAAAAAAAAAAAATATATATATATATATATATATATATATATATATATATATATATATATTCATCCTAAAATATAAATAAATGTTATAGAAAGCAAAAATGTAACTTTCTCAAACATCAACATATTGTTACAATACCAATTTTTATTTGTTTAAATTATTAAGCAGACTGCTTGTATTTCTTAAAAAGTAATGCTTCCTTCAAAATTCTGAGAATAAATCATTAGGTGTGTTCGACTTGAACCATGGCTGCAGCCGGTGATCAACAAGATTAGAGGAGCGCAGGCAGGGGCAAGTTGAAAACGGTGCCGTCAAGCTGGACACTTCGGTGCTCAAAATTGTGGCAGTCATGATAACTGATCGCATGGCATTCGTCATCGTTTTTTTAGACTTTTTTATTTATAACAACAAAATATTTCCAGTACAAATAAAACAGAATACAGTCTTTACAAACTAGTTCATTTTTGAATTATGAATTAAATATATAACAAACACATAAGAGAAATAAGGGAAAATGAGAGAGTAATTTAAACAAATTGAAAAGGCCTATTAAATACAAATTAATAAGCACAAATTCCAGGAGTTTAAATATTTAAGTCTTTAGGCTAATAATTGTTGTTTGAATATACTAAAAAGGGGTTTTACACATAAATCTTTCCAATATATATTAGTGTAAAACCCAAAACAAGGTGTTTTGATTAAGTCATAAACAATGATTAAGATTATTCTAGATAATGAAAGCATTTTTACATAGTTACATGTAGTTTTCATTTTTACATTATAATAAAAGCAACTCAGCCATTTGTGTAGTATCTGTGTCGTCATCGCAGCTCCTGCAGTCGGTCTTTAGATGCTACACAGGCTGAATCGATCATCTGATCTCGGAGTGCTGTTGCCAGGGGCACCCCCAAGTGGCCACCCTAATATGATTTTACTGTTGATATTTTTCATTTAAATGTACTTACATAAATTCACAATTTTTCAATAAATGCATAAATAGCAGCCACAAAATTATTGTGTCACTGACATAGCTGATTCACTCCCCCTCACCGTTCCCTGTCGTTGACAGCACGCACACGCCTTCAATAGACAGCAATGGCAATTCAATATTTAACTTAAGGTACATCAATAGAAGAAACCGTATTATTAATATTGTGTCTCAAAAAGGAATTTGGATAAATTATGTTATTAGGATCTGTATAGTGAGTGTGTGTATGTGTGTTTGTGCATTTGTTTGTTTTATTAATTATAAATATTAGAAAATGCCATATACTGTACGTGATACAATAAAAGTATGTGAAAAAAAAAAAAAAAATATATATATATATATATATATATATATATATATATATATATATATATATATATATATATATATATATATATGAAAAGTGTTTTTAAACTAAATATTCACTTTTTTGGTTTGCACATGTCTTTGCTGAATTATTTCAAGCAATAAATTGCAATTGCTTAAGGGTAATTAATTAAATGAATTAAAACCACAATATTTCATTTACCAGAAACAAAATATAACATTACACTGAATTTATAATTTTTTTGTGTGCCACCCCAAGATTTGG